GATGGATGATGGATGGATGGATGATGGATGGATGGATGGATGGATGGATGGATGGATGGATGGATGGATGATGGATGGATGGATGGATGGATGGATGATGGAATCCATGGATGGATGGATGATGGATGGATGATGGATGGATGGATGGATGGATGGATGATGGATGGATGGATGGATGGATGGATGGATGGATGGATGGATGAATCCGTGGACAGATCCATGGATGAAATCCTGAGCCCCTCAAACCCCCCAATCCCCCCAAGCCCCCTGAGCCCCCTGAGACCCCCCGAGCCCCCCCGAGCCCCCCGGAGCCCCCCGGAGCCCCCCGTGCTCACCGGATGCTGAGCAGGGGCCGCGTTTTGTGCACCTGCGCGTCGCACATGGGGCAGTACTTGTTGGTCTCCAGGTAGCGAACGATGCAGGTCCTGCAGACTGCGGGGACAGGGGGTGGGGGGACACCTGTGAGCGGTGGTGGGGACAAGGAGCCAGCACCCCCGGCACCCCAAAACCAACCTGGGGACAAACTTGGTGACGAGACCCTACCCCATGCAGCCCACCCTGCCCCGCATTGGGCGCCGCGGGGTTTTTGCGACGGCCGCCGGGGTGGCTTTTTGGGGACACGGGTGACACTCACACGAGTGCAGGCACTCCACGATGGTGGCGGCGTCGATGAAGTAGCCGCCGCAGAGGGCGCACATCAGGTGGGGGTTCAGCTCGGTGATCTTCACCCGCGTGGTCCCGTGCATCTTGGAGCAGCCCCAGGGCGGCTCCGCAGCCCCGGCCGCTGGAAGGGGACGCGCCGCCGACTGTCACTTGTGGCCACCCCAGCCCCGCAGCCACCCCCTTTTCACCTGCTCTGCCTCAGCCCCGCTGTCCCCAACAATTTGGAACACCCCCCGAGTGAGGACAATCCCCACCTGTGGCTGTGCACACCCCCAAAAAAACACCCCGGGTTGGGTTGTTTCCATGGAAAAGGCTCCTCCAGCCAGAATTCCATGGGTTTTCCTACACAAGGGCGGGTCGGGCACTTCTCCCGGGTGGGGACACCCCGCGGGGCACGGCGGGGACACCGGGAGCCGCTGCTCCCGCTCCCGGTGTTTCCCCGGTGTTTCCCCGGTGTTTCCCCGGTGTTTCCCCGGTGTTTCCCCGCTGTTTCCCCGGTGTTTCCCTGGTGTTTCCCTGGTGTTTCCCCGCTGTTTCCCCGCTGTTTCCCCGCTGTTTTCCCGGTTTCCGCGGGGTGGCCGCGGTTTCCGTGTTGCCGTGGCAACCGCAACACTTGGCAGGGATGTTGGCACTGCCAGCCGAGGGCAGGTGACAGGCGACAGGCGACAGGCGACAGGCGGCAGGCAACAGGCGACAGGCGACAGGCGCGGAGCAGCCCCGGCGTCACGGAGATGAGCGGGGCACGGCGGAAGGGACGGGGCAGCGGCGGTGGCACCGCGCGGCCACGGGGACACGCGTGTGACACACAGGGACACGTGTGTGACACATGGGGACACACACAGGGACACGCGTGTGACATAGGGGACAGGCGTGTGACACAAAGGGACACACAGGGACCCGCGTGTGAAACAACGGGACACACGCAGGGACACGCGTGTGACACAGGGACAGAGGTGTGACACACAGGGACACAGACAGGGACACGCGTGTGACACGCGGGGACACAGAGGGGCACAGGGACACACGTGTGACACACAAGGACACACAGGGACACAGGGACACGCACACCAGGGATGGGGACACCAGTGGGACTGGGATGGGGACACCACAGAGATGGGGACACCACTGGGCTGGGGACCTTGGGGACACCACAGGGATGGGGACACCACAGGGACTGGGATGTTGCAGGGACAGGGACACCACTGGCCTGGGAACCTCAGGGACACCATTGGGACCGGGATGGGGACACCACTGGAACGGAGATGGGGACACCACAGGGACAGGGATTGGGACACCTCTGGGACCGGGATGGGGACACCGCTGGAACAGAGATGGGGACACCACAGGGACGGGGACATCACTGGGCTGGGGACCTCGGGGACACCACAGGGATGGGGACACCACAGGGACCAGGATGGGGACATCACTGGCCTGGGGACGTCAGGGACACCATTGGGATTGGGATGCTGCAGGGATGGGGACACTGCTGGGACAGGGACCTCGGGGACACCTCTGGGACGGGGATGGGGACACCACAGGAATGGGGACATCACTGGGACTGGAATGAAGGTGCCACAGGGACAGGGACACCACAGGGACCGGGATGGGGACACCACAGGGACCAGGATGGGGACACCATGGAGACAGGGATGGGGACACCACAGGGACCGGGATGAGGACACCACAGGGACGGGGATGGGGACACCACAGAGATGGGGACATCACTGGGACTGGAATGGAGGTGCCACAGGGACAGGGACACCACAGGGACGGGGATGGGGACACCACAGGGACAGGGATGAGGACACCACAGGAATGGGGATGGGGACACCATGGAGACAGGGATGGGGACACCACAGGGACCGGGATGGGGACACCACAGGGACCAGGATGGGGACACCACAGGGACGGGGATGGGGACACCATGGAGACAGGAATGGGGACACCACAGGGACGGGGATGGGGACACCATGGAGACAGGGATGAGGACACCACAGGGACCGGGATGGGGACACCACAGGGACCGGGATGGGGACACCACAGGGACAGGGATGAGGACACCACAGGGACGGGGATGGGGACACCACAGGAATGGGGATGGGGACACCATGGAGACAGGGATGGGGACACCACAGGGACCGGGATGGGGACACTGCTGGGACGGGGATGGGGACACCATGGAGACAGGGATGGGGACACCACAGGGACGGGGACCGGGGGGACACTGCAGGGACCAGGATTGGGGACACCACGGGGACCGGGATGGGGACCCCGCTGTGCTGAGTGGCAGCTACCGGGGGGGCTCAGGAGCAGCGGGAGGGTTTTGGGGACCCCCGGGACCCCCTCCCATCCCAGCCCCCCCCCCGTACCGGGAGTCCCCCGGTGCCGTGTCCCCGTCCCCCCCACCGGGCCCCGGGGACCCCCGGCTGCATTTTGGGGACGATTCCGCCGCTTTCGGTGCAATGGCGGCCCCGGGGCTCGGCGGGAGGGGGGAGCCCGAGCCACCGGCGCAAACCGGTTCTAACAAACCGGGTGACAACGGCCGCGGTTTCCGTACCGGGGAGGGCGGGGGGACAAAGCCTCGGTCCCCCCGGTCCCCCCGGGACTCCTCCCGCCGTCCCGCCGGTGGCTCCCGCACCCCCGGCCGCGACTTTCGGGCTCTTTTGTCTCCGTGGGCGGTGGCCCGGCCCGGTGTCCCCCGTCCCGGTTCCCCGGAGCCCCGCGGGAACGGGCACGGGTGGGGAACGGGCACGGGTGGGGAACGGGCACGGGTGGGGAACGGGCGTTTCAAAGTCACCGCGGGACCCCCGGCGGCGGCGGCGGCGAGCGCGGGGCTCGGGAAACGCCCCGGGACGGCCCCGGGCCCCGCACGGCGCCCGTGGGGACCGGAGCGCTGGGAACACGCGGGGACAGCACCGGGAACACGCGGGGACAGCACCGGGAACACGCGGGGACCGGAGCGCCGCGAACACGCGGGGACAGCACCGGGAACACGCGGGGACCGGAGCGCCGCTAACACGCGGGGACAGCCCCGGAGCGCGGCCCCGACACCCCCGGTAGTGCCCGCCGGGATCCCCCCCACCCGCCGCCGTTCCCGGCGTGCGGGAGGCGGCACCGGAGCTGCGGGAGCCCCGCTGGACACGCGTGACCGCAAAGCGTGCGGGGGACCAGGACACGGGCACGCGGCACCGGGAGCGGCGGCGGGACGGGAGCGCGGGGCGGGACACCCGGGGGACACGGACACGGGGGGGATCGGGACACCGGGGGGGATCGGGACACACCGGGGACACGGACACGGGGGGGACCGGGATACCGGGGGGGATCGGGACACCGGGGGGACCGGGATACCGGGGGGGATCGGGACACCGCGGGGACCGGGACACACCGGGGACACGGACACCGGGGGAACCGGGACACCGGGGGGGGGACACGGACACGGACACCGGGGCGGACACGGACACGGACACCGGGGGAGACACGGACACCGGTGAGAGACACGGACACGGGCGGGGGACACGGACACCGGAGGGGACACAGACACACGGGGGACACGACCACGGGGGTGGCCTCGTTCCGCCGGGGTGCCCGGTTGGGGTGCCCGGTTGGGTGCCCGGTTGGAGAGCCCGGTTGGGGTGCCCGGTTGGGGTGCCCGGTTGTGGTGCCCGGTTGGAGAGCCCGGTTGTGGTGCCCGGTTGGGGTGCCCGGTTGGGGTGCCCGGTTGTGGTGCCCGGTTGGGGTGCCCGGTTGGGGTGCCCGGTTGGGGTGCCCGGTTGGGGTGCCCGGTTGGGGAGCCCGGTTGGGGTGCCCGGTTGAGGTGCCCGGTTGGGTGCCCGGTTGGGTGCCCGGTTGGGGTGCCCGGTTGTGGTGCCCGGTTGAGGTGCCCGGTTTCTCCCCCCGGCCGCTCCCGCCGCGATGGGACCGGGGGGGGATGTGGGTGGCCCCGGTAGCCCCGGTGGGGCGTCCCCTCTGTACTCGGCACCGGCTGTCTCCGCCCGCCCCGGGGATGGGGTATGGGGGTCCCGGTCCCGGTGCCGGTCCCGGTGCCGCCGTGCCGGGCGCGGTGCGGGGGTGGCGGCGGAGCCCTCCCGGTGCTGCCGGTGCGGTCCCGGGGAGGGGTCCCGGGGCCCCTCCCGGTTCCTCCGGTGCGGTCCCGGGGAGGGATCCCGAGGAGGGGTCCCGGGGCACCGAGCGGGTCTGGAGCGGCGGAGCCCTCCCGGTTCCGCCGGTGCAGCCCCGGGGCACCTCCCGGTTCCGCCGGTGCGATCCCGGGGAGGGATCCCGGGGAGGGGTCCTGGTGCCCCTCCCGGTTCCGCCGGTGCGATCCCGGGGAGGGATCNCCGGTTCCGCCGGTGCGATCCCGGGGAGGGATCCCGGGGAGGGGTCCTGGTGCCCCTCCCGGTTCCGCCGGTGCGATCCCGGGGAGGGATCCCGGTGTGGTCCCGGTGCCCCTCCCGGTTCCGCCGGTGCGGTCCCGGGGAGGGATCCCGGGGCACCGAGCGGGTCTGGGGCGGCGGAGCCCTCCCGGTTCCGCCGGTGCAGCCCCGGGGAGGGATCCCGGTGCCCCTCCCGGTTCCGCCGGTGCGATCCCGGGGAGGGATCCCGGGGAGGGGTCCCGGTGCCCCTCCCGGTTCCTCCGGTGCGATCCCGGGGCACCTCCCGGTTCCGCCGGTGCGATCCCGGGGAGGGATCCCGGTGTGGTCCCGGTGCCCCTCCCGGTTCCTCCGGTGCGATCCCGGGGCGGGGTCCCGGTGCCCCTCCCGGTTCCGCCGGTGCGGCCATCGCCATCTTTGGGGGGGCACCGGGGCCCGGTCCCTACCTGGTGGCGGCGGCGGCGGCGGCCCCGGGGCCGCCCCTCCGCTCCCGCGGCTCCGCTCGGCTCGGGCGGCGCTGCGGCCCTTTCTTATTTTCTTTATTTTTTTATTTTTTAATTTTTTTGATTTTTTTTCCCCTCTCTCGCTTTTTTATTTTTTTTCCCTCCCT